ACAAATATTGATAATAAAGTAATTTCTTTTAAATAAAGCTTAATGTCTATACCTACTTTAATGATAAAATAAAAAGATTGTTAAAAAATTAAAATCTAAAATTGTTATTAACAATTCTTATAAACAATTGCAAATTCAAGAATGTTCTGAATATTTTGGGAAAGTTAAATTACCATGTATTGATGTGCAAAACTCTAAGTACACAGGCCTGCATCATTTTGGGATAATGAAAGCGACAAAGCGTTTCCGAAGGCAAATTTTGCCCTGGACACGAATCTAAAGTCCAAAATGCTCCATCACGTCAAGTTTTTGAAAAAAATGGGGTTGAAACCCCTAAAACAGCGTTTTTGGCACTTTTTGAAAAATTGTGGAAGAAAATCCTGACGTGATAAAAATTTCGCTATTATCAGAAATTAAAGCTTAATTCATGCCCTTTCAAATGAGCCCTCAGCCGATTAATATCCTTCAACCCTTAAAGCAGGGGGTGTGTTTTTGTCCAGGGGTGCAAAAACTTTAAAATACATATACAAAAAAAATTATTTAAGGGATTTTTTAGGGGTTGTGAATTGAGAAAAATTTTGAAGCTATAGGTTTAAGTACACGGCTACCCCTAAAAAACCCTTAAATAATTTTTTTTGTATATGTATTTTAAAGTTTTTGCACCCCTGGACAAAAACACACCCCCTGCTTTAAGGGTTGAAGGATATTAATCGGCTGAGGGCTCATTTGAAAGGGCATGAATTAAGCTTTAATTTCTGATAATAGCGAAATTTTTATCACGTCAGGATTTTGCCCCACAATTTTTTAAAAAGTGCCAAAAACGCTGTTTTTAGGGGTTTCAACCCCATTTTTTTCAAAAACTTGACGTGATAAAAAAATTTTCGCCTGTATTTTGGCAGAAAAATCTACACAATTTCTATAATATAGAAGGTTACTGATTTTTCTTTCTTTAAATGAATCCTTGGAGTTTTGCCATAATTTTTCAAGTGTCCGGTTTCATTTATTTTGGCCATAATATAAGTAAAAATATAATAAACTGATGGAAAATATCTGTAGCGTTTTTACTTTGTAATTTCCATATTACGAACACAATTAGTTTTGTAGTATATATATATATATATATATATATATATATATATATATATATATATATATATATTATTTCAATATTAAATATAAGAAAAACTCTAATAAAAATATAATATACACTACCAGTTAAAATTTAGAGACCATACCCATTTTCAGGAGAATGAAAAACATTTTAAAATGTATCATGTACGGAAACTAAAATTTTTGTATCTTTTAAGTTTTAAAAGATGTTTAAATTTTGAATTGATCAAGATCTTTTAGAAGTCATTTGATTAATATTTTATTTAGACATTTTTAAAAAATGATAATTTTCAATGTTTTACAAAAATTTTATTAACTTCTAAAATACTGAATGCTTTTTAATGATGTTATCCTTATTTTAAAGGTGATTTTCTCCAGAATGAGAATTTTTTATAGGCATTAACGTGTAATTTTTTTTAGAAAATTCAATTTGTCAAACTTACATTTAAAAAATTAAAAAACTTTTAAACAATCTTATTAACAGAGAAATAATTTTTAAAATATAAACATATGTTTTTATTTAATTAAGATTTAATATAAGGTTATATTAAGGTTTTTGTTGTGGGAAAGGACCAGAAGTGGGCGCGCAACGCGCGTCCTTTTGGTTCTAGTGTTTATGATATAAACTCTGGCAGTGAATATAAGAAATTGAATGTGGGTAAATATGATATCGTTTTAGTTTGGTTTACAGATGGTATTCCAACTGCAAAAAGTGATAGGTTTAGTTTATATGCAATTCAGGTTCAAATTGTAAATATTCATCCCAAATATCGAAGACAGTTTCAATTCACTTGCGGTTTATTCTACACAAAAACGAATGACGGAAAGAAACCTAACATGAATACTTTTTTAAAACCATTTGTAGAACAAATGAACGATATTTTATCAACGGAGTTGAATGGCGGCATGAAGAATCGAATGTTTTAATAAAAAGTAAAGTTTTTGCCCCAGTAGCAACTGCGGACGCACCAGCTAAAGCTGAAGTTTTGAATTTGATAAACCACAATGGAGAAAATGGGTGTCCTGCTTGTGAGAATCCTGGTCAAACTGCTTAGAAAGGAAAAGGCAGAAATCATGTATTTCCACCTTTGGCTACAGACGCTCCTTTTCGTACTCACGACAACATAATCGAAAATGGAAAAAAGGCAAAAGAAAATGGTTTGAAGCACTCAAAAGGTGTAAAGGGACCAACCGTCATTAGAAAAATTCCATTTTTTAATTTGGCAACGAGTCTTGTCCCAGACTATATGCATATAGTTGCTATAGGAGTATTTAGACTGCTATTAACCCTTTGGTTTTGTACAATTAACAAAAATGAAGACTTTTATATTAAAAAGAAAATGAGAAACGACATCGAAAAAGAAATAAGCAAAATCTTTCCATCTGACGACAACACTAGAACACCGCGTCCACTTTCAAAATCAAAGTTTTGGAAAGCTTCTGAGAAGAGAGCAATGTTGCTTTTATATTTTCCTGTAATTTTACAGGGGATTTTAAAAGAAAAATATTACCAACACTTCTTACTGCTAGTGCATACAATGCATATATTATTACAAGAAAGAATCCATTGTATGTAAATTAATTTGGCTGAAACACTTTTATACTTATTTGTCTCTGATTTTTCAAAATTGTACGGTCTCAATAATTGTGTTTATTATGTACATATGCTAACGCATTTAGCTCCAGCAGGAAGAATTTGGGGTCCATTGTGGGCCTGGTCAGCTTTCCCATTTGAGGATGAAAATGGATATTTAATCAAAATGGCTCACGGTCCTATTAAAATTGAAGTCGAATTATTTAATACAATGAAATTAATTCACGCTTCAAAAGTACTAAAAACTTATTTCAAAAAATCTGAACCTAACTGTCATGAAATGAAAGATGCGATTGGCCTTGGACGACCAATAAATATTAAACTCGAAGAAGAACATTTATCAGCTTTAGAAAACGAAGGAATAGAACATTTAAGCGTAGAAATTCTAAATGCTTTGATTTACGCTAGAGTTCAAATCGGAAAAGTTATTTTCACATCATCTTTATATCAACGACAAAAAAAAACGAAACAATAAGAATATTTATTGGAATAATCAAACTTGCTTTGGCTCAATTAGATTTTTTATTAAAATAAATGGTAAAATTTTCGTCAAAAAAATTATTGCTGAATGGAATACAATAATTCACAAAGAAACAGGAATAAAATTTAATAATTGCATTGTACCTGTTTAAAGATGAGTTCAAAATTTAAGTAAAAACGTATTTTCTCACGGTTTTTTGAATCTTCGAACTTTCACTTTTTTATGAAAAGTATAGAAAAAAACAGGTAAAAAAAAACTGCAAAACGTGTGCTAACATGTGCTAGCCAGAGCCGAGTCCACCCTTTTTTATGACATGGCCTGCGCTCCACCCTGGCTGGCGAATCTCATTTTTAAATAAAAGGACTTTTCCAAAAACATGCAATGGAAAATATAGAAAAACATTGCTTTTCTCCCCTCTTTTTCTAAGATCGGTACTTGAAGTAAAGGATAAGGCTCTTTTTTCTTAAAACGGGTAGTTCAGTTCGCTTTTGCCTACAATTTCGTCGAGACCTCGCAAAAGTATTAATTCTAAAAACGCATAGTAAAATCTAAGAGAGTTTTCTTTTAAAGTTTTGTCGCTTTGCATAGTATCAAACTCAAGTAAAAACCTCCTCATAAAAAAGTGGATAACATTCTGGATGAGTCTTAATGTGAAAGTCTCTCTCTTGCAGGCCCTTATAAGTTGTGTTCTCCCTGCAAGGGACCCTTAACAGAACTTCCAGAGTGTTATCATTTCTCAAAGAGTCTCTCACAATTGATAAGTTTCTTCCTTGCAAGCCCTTCTGAGTTTTTGAGTTATCGTTGCAAGGGACTCTTAATAGTTATCACTCTTTCTAAACGGTTATCATTCGCTAAAAGTTATCGCTCTCTCGTAAAGTTATCATTATCACCACTGTGTTATCATCTACCTATATGTGTTATCCTAAAATCTACGATCAGTGATGTTATATCTCTAATAATTAATAATAAACTAACAATTTTTGTGTATTTTGTGTGTATTAATTTTCTTTCTTTCCTTCGATTGAAAATAAGTGACATTCTCTAAACATTTTTTGGTCCTTCGAGCCGGATATAAAGTCATATTTTGGATAACAGTTCAAGTGATATTAGTTTTCATCATTACTCAAAATGAGGGTTTCTCATATAAAAAATCATATTGGCGATCAAACATCGCATATGGATTTTATATCAAGTGCTGTGAATAATTTAACGTGTATTGGTGTATCTAATGTGTCATCACATCGAATTGAAACGCGGAAAACCGCTCTTCAAGAGGAATGGAACAAATTTAAGTTGAAAAATGATGCAATTAAAATTGCTTTTCGTCAATTAAACTCTCGCGATAAGGACTATATTCTTCAACGCCCTTATTTTTCTGAAAAACTTTTCAATGCCACACAAGAAGCATATCTCGAGGCTTTGGAAACTATGGACTCTATGTTGGATCGGTTAAAAAAGGATACACGTTCCCCCTCCGTTCAATCAGTTTCACAAGTGTCATTTTTTCCCTCAAGTAATCATTCCGGTCCTCGTCTACCGTATCTAAATTTACCGAGCTTTGACGGTTCTCCTTCGGAATGGCTACCGTTTAAAGATCTGTTTGATTCTATGGTATTATCAAACTTATCTTTGTCACCTGTTTGGAAATTGCATTATTTGAAACAATGTCTTAAAGGAACTGCGGCTCACTTGTTAAAAAATACAACTCTTACTAACGACAATTTTTAAAAGGCATGGGATTCTTTAGTTGCATTTTATGAAAATAAACGATTATTAGTCAACTCAGCTTTGCACTCCTTCGTCACACTCAAACGAATGACAAAGGAATCATCGGTAGAAATGGAAGTTTTATACACTTCTGTCACGCAAATTCATCGCTCGCTAGAAACTCTCGGCCGACCAGTGGATAAACAGGATGATTTCTTTGTGTTTGTAACTGTGCAAAAACTTAATTGTGATTCAATCAAAGCCTGGGAGCTGCATTTGGGCTCTTCTCAAGATCCTCCTACGTGGAAAAAACTCGTTGAATTTTTGCTCACCAGACTTTTGACTTTGAAAGCTGTGGAAAAATCTCGTAAACCTTCAAATTCATCGAGTTCTCAACCAGCAAGAGTTAATCTAGCATCAGAGGATCAACAGAATCAGTGCTCAATTTGTTCAGGAGAACATTATATATCTAAGTGTCCGGAATATGCAGGAAAAACAGTTCAAGATCGAACTGAATTAGTGAAAAAGAATAAACTCTGTTTCAATTGTCTCGGATCACATCGTGTTGCTGACTGCCGATCTACAAGACGATGTATGAAATGTGCTAAAAAACATCACACAACCATACATCGAGCCACAAAAGAAAATTCAGACAAACCTGCCCAGGAAAATAATGAATCGCCCTCTTCTGATTCAAGTGCTCAAGTGAATTGTGCTTCTGTAAATCAAGGATCTTCACCGTCCAAAACTATATTGGCAACTATTCAACTAATTGCGTCATCTGACAAAGGAGAACAACTCAAAGTCAGAGCATTAGTTGATCCAGGATCACAAATTTCATTTATTTCGGAAAAACTGGTGCAAACTTTGAAACTTTAACGTCAAAATACATCTGTTCCGTTAAGGGGCATCGGTGCTGTCAAAGCTGGTCGAACTCGAGGTCTCGTGTCAATCAACTTACGTCCCCACTTCAAGTCATCGACGAAGTTACAAATGGTGACATATATTTTACCGAAATTAACTTCTCGATTTGCATCGAAAAAACTGAACAACGCTCAATGGACTCATCTCAACGATCTTCAACTTGCTGATCCTGATATCACTTCACCCAGCGAAATTGATATAATCATTGGAGCTGATTATTATGGATTAATTTTGGAAGACGGAATTCGTCGTGGATCTTCATCGTCTCCGACGGCTCAAGCAACAAGCTTTGGTTGGATTCTGTTTGGGCCATCAAATTTATCACCAGGAATGATAACTTCGGAAAGTTATCACGTGTCCCTTGACGAGGAGTTGTATGATCTGCTTCAAAATTTCTGGAAATTGGACGATGTACCTGTATCCAATTCATCTGTTCTCTCACAAGAAGATCAAGAATGTGAAGATCATTTTAAAACAACACATACACGAGATACACATGGTCACTACATCGTACGTTATCCTCTCAAAAAATCAACATCACTTTTGGGAAATTCAAGGAGCAGTGCTGTCCGAATGCTTTTTAAATTAGTCTCTCGAATGAAAAGTGATCCTAAATTGAAGGAAGCCTACTGTGAATTCCTTCAGATCTATGAAGACTTGAAACATATGGAACCTGTGTCAAACTCTGGAAAAGATTCACTTGAAGGTGCCTTTTACCTTTCTCATCATGGAATCATCAAGGAAAGCAGCACCACAACTAGACTACGAGCAGTGTTTAATGGATCGTTTAAAACATCGACAGGCGTCTCCCTCAACGATCTCCTTCACATAGGAGCAAAATTACAAATTGACATTCTTGATGTTCTTCTCTGGTTTCGACAGTTCCGATATGTGTTCACCAGTGACATAGAAAAAATGTATCGACAAATCAAGGTTCATCCTGATGATCAGAAGTTGCAAAGAATTCTTTGGTTGGATTATAAAAACAACATTGTTGATTATCAGTTGACGACTGTGACATATGGATTGGCATGTGCTCCGTTTCTCGCCCTGCGCACTGTTCAAAAGCTGATCGAGGATGAAGGTTCCAGATTTCCGTCGGCTGTACCAACTTTGACTAACGGAAGATATGTTGATGATACTTTTGGAGGAGCTCATTCAATTCCAGAAGCTCAAGAAGTTGTTCAACAAGTGAATGATTTGTGTGAAGCAGGTGGATTTCCCCTTCAAAAGTGGACAAGTAATGAACCGATCATCTTGCAAAAGTTACCAGCTGAAAAGCAAACAGCAGCTGAGTCGAGAACAATTGATCAAGGTTCTGCAATGTTGGTTCACACGTTAGGCATGAAATGGAATCCTTCAACAGATACGTTCCATTTCATCTCAACTCTACCAAATGATTCTAAAGTGACAAAGAGGACAACTCTATCAACAATCTTTAAACTTTATGATCCCCTTGGATTATTAGCTCCCGTTGTGATTACTGGAAAAATTCTAATTCAAGATCTTTGGGCACTCAAACTTGGATGGGATGAACAATTACCTCAGCATCTCACTGTAAAATGGAATGCATTTATGGATCAACTAAAGGACATCAATGAATTGCCTTTTCCGCGATGGATCAAGATCACACCACATGCTTCCTTGGAATTGCATGTATTTTGTGATGCATCTCAACTCGCTTTGTCTGCTGCTGTGTATCTTCGCTCTGTTGATCTTGATGGAAAGGTAGAAACATCTCTTGTTTGCGCCAAAACGAAGGTCGCTCCCATCAAACGACTAACAATTCCTCGCTTGGAATTATCTGCTGCTGTCATTGGATCAAAACTCGTGCATCATGTTCAACAAGTCTTACATCTAGAAAAAGTGGCGATTCATCTATGGACAGATTCAGCAATAACTTATACTTGGATCAACCCATCTCGTTGGAAGGAGTTTGTGCATAATCGAGTCTGCTTTATTCAGGAATTGATTCCAACTGCAAAATGGTATTTTATACCTGGAAAGGAAAATCCAGCTGATCTCGCTACTCGAGGTATCAGCCCAGCAGAACTTGCTCAAAACAAACATTGGTGGACTGGTCCAGATTGGCTTCAAGAATCTGTTGAATCGTGGCCCAAAACTTCAGAACTACCTACAGAACAAGACAACCTGGAAGAACGGCCAGCTGCCGTACACCTCAACAACACAGCACCAACTGACAAGATGTGCACGTTGTTGACTTGATTTTCAGATTTAAACAAGCTTGTGAGAATCACTGCTCTTTGGAAGAGATATTCACTCATCCTGAGGAAGAAAGCAAACAACATTGTGAAAACACCAATTACCACTCAAGAATTGGCTGATGCTAAACACTCATTAGCACTGATTACTCAACAACAGCTGTTCCAGAAGGAAAGAAAAGTGCTTTCAAAAGGAGAATCTCTTTCAACAACTCACCCACTCGCTCGACTGACACCATTTATTGATTCCCAGAATCTTATGAGGGTTGGAGGAAGATTGAATGCATCATTTTTACCATTCAACTCGAAACACCCTATCATTTTACCTCGAGAATCTCCACTCACTCAGCTGATTATCTCTGATGCTCACCAACGCACCTTGCATGGCGGTACTCAACTGACTTTGTCGTACACAAGAAATGAATTTTGGATTCTCGGAGGACGTGTTCCAATCAGTTCTTTCATTTGGAAATGTGTTAAATGTGCAAGACAACGAAAGGTTCGTGGATGTCAACTCATGGGTCAACTACCAACGGAACGGGTAACTCCATCTCGATTATTTTTACACTCTGGTGTGGATTACGCTGGGCCGTTACTACTCAAAACTTGGAAGGGGCGAGCTGCTCGAACGTATAAAGCATACATCGCTTTATTCATTTGTGAATCCACGGCTGCGATACATTTAGAACTTGTAACGGATTACAGTTCAGATGCCTTTATCGCTGCCTATAAGCGATTTACTGCACGGAGAGGAATCTGCTCAACTTTGAGAAGTGACTGTGGAACAACTCTGACTGGTACGGATAAGGAACTTCGCAACTTATTCTCGTCTGCATCAAAGGAGCTTGGAACAATGTCATCTCTACTCGCAAAGGACGGCACTCAATGGTCCTTCAATCCACCAGCTGCACCTCACTTTGGAGGATTGTGGGAAGCTGGAGTGAAATCTGTGAAGCACCATTTACGGAGAGTTATCGGCGACCATCTTCTCACCTACGAGGAGATGAACACCTTTTTGTTTCAGACCGAAGCAGTATTAAATTCGAGACCACTTTCTGCACTCACGGAAGATGCAGAGGACTTCAGTGCACTTACACCTGGACATTTTCTCATTGGCGGACCGCTAATGACAATTCCTGAGCCTAATCTCGAAGATATCAAAACAGCAAGGCTTTCACGGTGGCAGCTTCTTCGCCAAATGTTAGACAGCTTCTGGATAAGGTGGTCTAAGGAATGCCTGCAACGCTACCAAACATGTGCTAGCCAGAGCCGAGTCCACCATTTTTTTATGACATGGCCTGCGCTCGACCCTGGCTGGCGAATCTCATTTTTAACTAAAAGGACTTTTCCAAAAACATGCAATGGAAAATATAGAAAAACATTGCTTTTCTCCCCTCTTTTTCTAAGATCGGTACTTGAAGTAAAGGATAAGGCCCTTTTTTCTTAAAACGGGTAGTTCAGTTCGCTTTTGCCTACAATTTCGTCGAGACCTCGCAAAAGTATTAATTCTAAAAACGCATAGTAAAATCTAAGAGAGTTTTCTTTTAAAGTTTTGTCGCTTTGCATAGTATCAAACTCAAGTAAAAACCTCCTCATAAAAAAGTGGATAACATTCTGGATGAGTCTTAATGTGAAAGTCTCTCTCTTGCAGGCCCTTATAAGTTGTGTTCTCCCTGCAAGGGACCCTTAACAGAACTTCCAGAGTGTTATCATTTCTCAAAGAGTCTCTCACAATTGATAAGTTTCTTCCTTGCAAGCCCTTCTGAGTTTTTGAGTTATCCTTGCAAGGGACTCTTAATAGTTATCACTCTTTCTAAACGGTTATCATTCGCAAAAAGTTATCGCTCTCTCGTAAAGTTATCATTATCACCACTGTGTTATCATCTACCTATATGTGTTATCCTAAAATCTACGATCAGTGATGTTATATCTCTAATAATTAATAATAAACTAACAATTTTTGTGTATTTTGTGTGTATTAATTTTCTTTCTTTCCTTCGATTGAAAATAAGTGACATTCTCTAAACAGTACCTATCCGCGAAACATACGCATTAACTGTTATTCCAGTCAAATTAATAGAAGGAAAGTTTACTAAAATTCAAGGTTACGCTACAGTATATCCAAACTCGTTTGAAAGAAAATAGTGAAAAGTTACTAAGTAATTTCTTTTGTTACCATTGGCAACCATTTTTTTCACTTTTCTGATTATTATTTACATTATATTGTTATTTTATACAACATTTCTCTCGCTCCCTCCTTTTTTCTATCAATTCCAATCCCCATTTATTTGTTGAACTGTTATTATAAAGTTGTATTTCTAATTAAACATGTTTTCGCTAATAAATATAATTTCTATCAAGAAGGTGTTTTTGTAAAGGACTATCTTTAATTATAATAAAAATTAATGTAAAACTTAAATAATTAATGAAGTAATTAAAATGGTAATTTAAAAAAATGTCGTACTTTAATCTTTCAAGAAAAAAGTTCGAAATAGAATTTTAAAATATTCAGAAGAAAATAATTAAAATTAATAAAAAAGGGAAAAACTTTACGACGACACTTCTTCATCGTATTAAAATTACTTTTCTTTAGAAAGTTGTTGAATCAACGATTAAAAATCATATATAAACTTTTCTGTCCAGTTAAAAATTAAAATGCTTTAAATTTTTCAATAAAATTACTGTAAAATTTTATACATATGCAATTTCTCTAAAAATTTTATAGAATTCATGCAGAAATTCTAATTTCTGGTTAAATTCTACAGAAAATTCTATAGAATTCTCTATAGAACATTTTGTAGAATGCTCTATAGAAATTCTATAGCAATTCTATAGAATCCTCTATAGAAATTCTATAGCAATTCTATAGAATCCTCTATAAAATGCTCCATAGAGTCATTCTATAGAATCACTCTATATAACTTTTTTGACTGGGCTGCTGATGCGTCGAATACAGGTCTAATTTTGTCCGGTTTGTTTATGTTCACTGACCCAAAATGCGGTAGGTGCCAGGCTCGATGCGATGTTTCGTTCTCATCGTTCTTGAAGCAGTATTTCAATTCTATTAAATTTTGTATTTGTTTACAATACTTCGCAGCGTATTCGGTATTATTATCCATTTTCATTTCCAGCGAGCAGAGCCGCTGTAGCGCCTGCTCTCGATTATTTGGCATTTCCACGTTATCTGATGCCCATAGTAGCCCGACTTCCTAATTACTTCCAACTCGTTTGGCGGTGTTCTTCAGTATATATCGCTTCAGCTCTCTTCTCTGATTTATTTCTTCTGTTGAAGCTAGTTATTCCGAGTCCATCCAGGTTATATGCAGTTCTTACTAGTTTATACAAGGCGCTATCCGAGTCTTCCTTGTACCCTTCTCCGTCTGCGTTCTTTATCATAAGCGTAAGGTTTTTAGTTGTTCTCGAGGGAACCCTTCCATGCACAACTCATCCTAATTTTATATATGAAGTAGAATTTATCACTCGGTCGAAATTTATATATGTGAGAAGAAATCATTCTTTCCGAGTCAAATAAAAAGAGAAAATTCTTTTTAACGTTTCGACGATAACAATTGTCCTCATCAGAGACTATAATTTATTTAGAAAAAATTATTTGTTAATACATTTTAATATATAATTAAAAAACATTAAACAATCAATAATAATATAATTAATTAATTTCGTACCGATCAGAATCGTGTTTGAATGCACGTGTGGACGGACGAATGTCACGTCGTCAACTAACTCATTTAATCGACGAAAACAGAGGCATCGCAATACATTCAAAAGACAAAATACAATTTAAGATGCGAATGAATACATTTAAAAGCAGATTTAGGACCTTGAGATAGGAGAGAAGTGAATGACCGAGAAAAGTAAACTATTGGATGTGATGAAAGTGTTATTGAGATTTTAGAAATTGAGAATATTTGTCATTCAACTTATTTATATCATAAATATATCATCATCCTAATTTTGTCAGCGATAGCGCCGGTAATTTGCGGTCTATGGAGTGTATTTGTGTTGTCACGATTAAATCCCAGTTGTCCTGTCCAATTAACAATCTCGGACGAACATCGTTGTACGGGTCAACGGAGAACTCAACCAGGTGGGGGTACCTTTTTATTTCCTGTGACTTGAGCGATTAAGTGGGCAGCGTCAGATTCCTTATCGTGCGTACCCCTGATAAATGGTGTATAGAGGTTTCATCTATTGCACTAATTTTTAGATCTACTTTTCTACTGAAAGAGTCTACGAGTCCTACGTCACCAACACAAATAATTTCAATCAGTTCCACTTGTCCTTTTGCTCCAATATTGTTGGCTAACTTGGAGTCTATAAGCGTAACGGTGGATCCATCGTCCATAAGCGCGTATTTTATTACGCTTTTACCATTTCCGTGTAATCGCACCGTTAATATTTTTAGTAGGACTCTCTCAGCAGCCTGTTGTCATTCAGCTCGTTCTGTTTCTTCCTTTGACTCTCTCGTCTCCCTGGATTACGTGTACGCGATCCACGTAGCAGCGTATGATGAGTTCCCGAACAATTCTCCACCCCGCACTTCTTTTCTAGACACTTGTTTTGACGATGATCGCTATCATTCAAGCATCGAAAACAAATACGAGAACGTCGTGCCCAATCCCATCGTTCGGTAAGCGATAATTTCTTGAGCTCTTCGCAGTTTCCCGCACGATGTGATCCTGAATTGCAGTACCTGCAATCATTGTTTTTCCTCGATTTCTTTGATTCCGGCTCTTCGTCACCGCCTTCCAAAACAGTAGCGTGAACTCCTTGAGCGTTTCCGTATTTTGACTGTTGCCTTTTCCTAAATCATTGGTCTTTATCAGTTCCTGATTTGTTGTCTTGTTGTTGCTGCTTCGTCGATGTTGAGTTTAATGTTCCCACCTTGCACGCTATTTCGGCTTCAAAAAACAGGAATTTTGAAAGTGTCACCAGAACGGGTTCGCTTGGACTTCCGTGTTTATGGGAGTATCTGTTAAAGTTATATATCATACTTGTGGACATCCGCTGCGTGACTTCCTTCATTAGCTCCGGACTATGGAGATACCCAATGTGGTTTGTTGCTTTGAGTGCGGCCACCACGTTCTTCACGGTCGTAGCAAACGTCACGAATTCGGTTCCTATTCCGTAGGTTCTGGGAAGAGATTGTAGTTTTCCAACTATTCGATCGGCGACCACTTGCGGATTTCCAAAGCGCAGTTGTAATAAATCCATGATTGGGGTCGTATCGTTCGCCGTCACCATCAGCGAGGCCACCGCGTCCTTTGCCTCTCCTTTAAGAGATTCTTGCAGCCGCATCATATTTTCTTGTACACTATATCCAATTCTTCTCGTACTTTCTTCGAATGCACGCTTGAATTGGGGCCACTCTAGCACGTCACCATCAAAGATTGGTAGGTTCTTTCCCACGGTCATCCTTTTAATTAGACCTTGTGCGGCTTTATCCGAACTAGGCACGTTTACTGCTGAATTTTTATGTTCATCGTTGCGGTGTTCTGTCGTCTTTATAATCGATCTATCATCATCCTCATCATTATTATTTATTTTGGCGGCCAGTTCCTTGTCTATCATTTCTAGTTCGATTTTTTCTTGTTCCTTCAAAATTCGCATTCGGATTTCATATCTTCTTCTCGCTGCTTCCATTTCTAGGTTCATTATTCTCTCTCGAGAACTTGATGCGTTGCTGAATAAAGGGTTGCTGGCGCCGGAACGCGATTGTTGACTGGGGGCCCGACGTTCTCTTGATCCAGCACCACTCTTACCCGGACCGCGACCGACGGATGGATTAGATCTAGCACCTCCACTCGCCCCCGCTACGTTACGCACGTCACTACCAAGAGAGGCTCCCGCACGAACTCTCATCGTATTGGGATCCGTATTTACACGAGAACGCTTGTCACTGTCATCACTCATTAACTCAGTATTGTCACTACCCACAGAATGGTCATTGACATATTACATGATAGATATTTTAGGTATTTTAGACCCTCTCCCCCTGTGAGATACTTTTTCTATATAGTTTAGTATAGAAAATTTGTTAAAGTATGATACTTTGCTTACCCCCTTCCCTCCCCTAAATATATCATGTAATATGTGAATGGCCCCTCAATATGTTTACATTTAGTAGTATCCCAGTCAGTAATAAAAGATCTAATGGACGTCTATTCGACGTCTAAAATATCTATCTATGTGAAATCTAAATAGAGATCTATAAATTCTTGTTGGTGCTCAACATCAAGAAATGAAAGTTACAATGGACGATTTAGACAATCTGTTCTTAACTCCTTAGACGTCCAATAGACGTTGGTTAGTCCTTTTATTTCTTACTGGGATGCTAAAACTAGGGACCTTCTTTTTAGTAATGGACTTACCTTTTCCGTGGTCCATCAATGGCAATTGCAGAATTAAAATTTTGTCAAAACTATCATCGGATTCGTAATCAGCGACCCCAAAAACCGCCGAGTAACAAGTTTTAAGTAAATTTGATCAATTTTAAAAATAAGTCCGCCATATTGGATTCGCCATTTTAAATTTGGAAAATCTGACTTTATATTCGTAATCAGCGACCCCAAAAACCCCCGAGTGACAAGTTTCAAGTGATTGCGATGAATTTTTGTAAAACTCGTCCGCCATATTGGATACACCATTTTTAATTTTTAAAAATAAAGTTCATATTCGTAATCACCGACACCGAAAACCCCCGAGTAACAAAATTCAGGCGAATCCATTGACTTTTGGGCAATTTGAAGAATATTCCCCAAAATTTTCAAATTTTACTTTAGATTTAACGCTATATTGATCAGCCATCTTAAAATTTTAAATTCTACTTTACTTTTCTCGAAAATGTATAATTTTTATGCACCGATGGTTAAAAATAGAATTTTTATTCTTACACTTTTTCGAGGTGAAATAAAATGTCAAATTTGAAAAAATGAATTTTTTTGTGTTTTTTGACATTAATACCGCCATATTTAATTTTGGTTTTGACAAAATTTATTTTTGACACCGGAATCGAAAGGAGCACATCCAAAACCTTTAGAAAATGTACCTCTGGTACCTATAAATTGTCAACCGTTTTATTTATAATTACGTAGCTTAAAAATGACCAAAGAATTTTCATGAGTTGGACGTTAATGAGTTAATATAATAATTATTAATAATTAAAATTATTTTTATAATATTATTATTAAATGATAATTAATTAATCTTTCTAATATTGATAATTATTTTATAATTAATATAATTAATATTAATTATTAATAATTAATTAATGTTTAAAATTATTTTGAAAATTACTAAATATGATAAAGTTTAAAAATTATGTATTATACATTTCTAGCATTTTTGAATTCAAATTACTTAATATTAGTAGGTGTAATAATGACTAAATAATAAGATATAGATGTAGATGATTACAAAATATTAGAACCAAACATTAGTTTTTTTAGTAGTAAAATAAATAATCATGGGAAGGTGAAGAATTAAAAAATTCAGTGTATCGTCAAAATTGCGACGTTTCGTTGGCTAAGGTTTGCCAACCTCATCAGGCTAAATTTATTTAAACAGAAAAACACTTTAATATTTATAAAGGTTTAAAACAACACTATACACAATACTGAAAATATGTTTAAAGAATATCCTACCAGATTCGTTAAAACATAAAAATCGCGTTCTAACTCGTCAATATAAAAAAGATTTCATTGAGAAAAAATATTTTTTTATAACAATTTCCACATATATCAAAATTAAAAATGAAAAATTTCTTCATGTGAAAGGAAGACATTTCAGCACACTAGTTCAGTGTCAACTGAAATAAATTAAAATTTGCTATTTCGAGAAAGTAAAAAGAATCAAGATAAAGAAAAAGTCAATGAACTGAATGTAAGTAACACAGTTTTATCATAGAGGGAGCAAGTTGTGTTATTGTTGTGTCATTATAGACAAGAGTCTAAACGTCTGAGAAGAGGAAAAAAGGTTCTGTTTAGAGTGAAAATATCTTTCCTTTCTATTAATAGTGGAATGATTTGTTTTAATATGGATCATTTCAGATATTCGTCGTTTTATAAAATTTGGTTCATTATCCAAAATTTTGGCACTTTCCCAATCGAAGTCATGTCATGATTACAATTAATTCGATGGCGGTAAACTACAGAGTTATCATTTACATTTTTATGTTCATTTATGCGAGTTAACAATGACCGTTTTGTTTCACCTATATTTGTTGCAGGACAATCTTTACAGTCAAACTTGTATACAACATTTGTTCTGTCCCATTTTTTAGATGCATCTTTACCAACTCTAATTATAGAATTAAAGTTTTTATTAATAAGTGGAATCGCAGTAAAATGAAACTCTTTGAGAATATTTGACAACTTAAAGAAACATTTTTCATTGAACGGTTAACAAACCTTCGGGATTTGACTGTAAATACAAATTTTATTTCGATTATTGTTATTATTATTATTAACCTGAGAAAATTTTATATGGTTTGTACGAATTTTTATATGTTTATCAATAAAATCCAAAGGATAGTTATTATTTTTTAAGTTGGATCTATCTTCTTTAAGTTATCAAAATGAAACTCTTTGTTGGACAATGAAATCACTCTATCAACCAGATTGTGGAGTCTTTATCTATACTTGACATTAATGAAAACTCAAAGAATAATTTAAGGGGAAAATTTTCTGATGTCCTGTTAAATAATTTAAATAATAAAAATCTTTCTAAAAACCAAGATAGGTCATTTGCTAAAAAATTACAAAGCACAAAAAGTTTTTTAAAGAGTAATCCTAATGTTTTTTTCACTCCAGCCGATAAAGGCAACGTGACTGTACTCATAAAAAAGTCTGAATACAATAAAAAAATGTTGGATATGTTTTCTGACGTGTCAACATACGAACTTATAAAAAAGTATCCGCTTAAAAAACTAATCAAAGAAACATCAAGCATTTTAAAATATCTGAATGAAAATGAATTTCTCGACAAAAACTACCATCCCAATCAATTGACCCTGACTGACACTGTATTAGCGAAGGCATATGGACTTCCAAAAATACACAAAGAAAATGTTCCACTTCGTCCAATTATATCTCTAATAAACAGTCCAACACATTTTCTTGCAAAAATATTGTATAATTCATTAAAAAATTGTATTACTCTACCTCGTTCACATATTAATAATAGTTTAGAACCTAAAAATAAACTGAGCAATCTTGTTATGGACGATAACTATACTTTTATTTCTCTCGACGTAAGTTCTATGTTTACAAACGTTTCTTGTGAACTGGTAATTCAGAGTTTAGATCGACGTATTCATTCTATAAGACAGAAATGTAAGATTCCTTTCTCAGATTTTATCGACTGTACTAAATTTGTATTTAACAACACCTATTTTTCTCTTGGTGAAAAATTCTATCGACAAATTTATGGTACACCGATGGGTTCACCAATTTCAGCCTTCGTTTCAGACATTGTCATGGATGATCTGGAAACTGATTGTTTAACAAAATTAAAGGAGGAGCACAATTGTGTTCCCCTTTTTTATTTTAGATATGTTGATGACACAATATTAGCTGTAAAAAAAGAACATGTCAACTTAGTCATTAATACTTTTAATGCCTACAATCAAAAATTA